CTGGAATTCCCGGAAAATTCTGGAGTCATCCCTGGTTTTTTTTTCCATGGAGCGAGGAGGGGGAGAAATGGAACCACGATGGATCCGGGAGCCCTTTGGAACTTCCAGGATTCAATCCCGTTCCCAAATCCCTGGGATGGAAAACTGGGAGAATCCCAAAGGCAAAGCTGATGGCACAGGATCCCTTGGGAATGTCAAACCCAAAGCTGTGGGTGGAGAGGAATCCCCCGATATTCCAGGATTTTTGGCCATGGATTCCATCTTTTCCCGCCCTCCCACGGATCCGGAATTCCACTCGTGCCTCAGTTTCCCCAGTTTGGAAAACGCTGCAGCTCCCAGGATTCCTGGGAGAGGAGGAGGAGGAGGAGGAGGAAGAGCAGCATCACCCCAAGGCCTTGGGAATTTTTATCCCGGATTTTCCTCCTTCCTCTCCCACCTGAGCCCAAAACCCACCCGGGAGCTCGGCTGGATCCGGATCCCTCGGGATTGGGATTGGGATTGGGATTGAGATTGAGATTGGGATTGGGATTGGGATTGGGATTGGGATTGGGATTGAGATTGGGATTTGGATTGAGATTGGGATTTGGATTGGGATTAAGACTGAGATTGGGATTGGGATTGGGATTGGGATTGAGATTGGGATTTGGATTGGGATTAAGACTGAGATTGGGATTGGGATTGGGATTGGGATTGAGATTGAGATTGAGATTGAGATTGGGATTGAGGTTGGGATTGAGATTGGGATTGGGATTGGGATTGGGATTGGGATTGGGATTGAGATTGGGATTGGGATTGAGATTGGGATTGAGATTGAGATTGAGATTGAGATTGAGATTGGGATTGAGATTGGGATTGGGATTGGGATTGAGATTGGGATTGGGATTGGGATTGGGAATCCCTGTGCCAGGGATCCAGGAAAACCAGAGGAATGAGGAATTCCAGCTGGGAGCTGGGAGAGGGCTCCTCATTCCATGGTCAAGGGTCTGAAATTTTTCCAGAGGTGCTGGGAAAGGGCGAGAAGATTTTTTCCAATGGATTTTGGGACTGAGCTCCAAGCAGCCACATTCCAGCCCCGGAATTCCAGGTCAGTGTGCCTGGAATCCATCCCATCCCATCCCAGGGCAGGACAGGGCCCTGATTAAGAAAGGAATCATGGAAATGTGGAATTATTTCCATTGGAAATAATTATAAATATAATAATTATAAATATAATGATTATAAATATAATGATTATAAATATAATGATTGTAACTATAATACGTATAAATATAATAAATATTTCTAATATTTATTATATTTATCATAATTATTATAATCACATGTGACATGTTTCTATTTATATTATAGATTATTTATTAAAATAATTATTTTAGTTATAATATTTATTATAATGATAATAAATAAAAGAATAAATAATTATGAAAAGAATAAATAACCGAGTCCAGCATTCCCTGGATTCCATCCCCAGATCCCAAATCATCCCATGATTCCAAGAGCAAGGAAAACTCCCCTTGTTCTGTTCCCGCTGCTGTCGGAATCCAGGAAGATCCCTCGGGATCCTCCCGCTTTTTTTTATCCTCGTGGATTATTCCCATCCCCTCGTCCCCAACCAGCTCCCGTGTCCCATGGAATTTTCCAGCCCGGATTCCACCCCCAGAGCTCTCCCACATCCCAAAACGTCCAGGAATTTCCCGGCGATCATCCCTGGAATTCCCATCGAGCTTCTCCCTTTGGATGCCGCTTGGGAATCGAGGTTGGGAATTTGGGAAAGGAATTTGGGGAAGGAATTTGGGGAAGGAATTCGGGGAAGATGCTGAGAGCCTTTGGAGCCTTTTTTTTTTTTTTTTTTTTCCCCTGCGGATCCGAGGTTTGCTGCAGTTTTGGGATGGGAATGAACAGGGAATGATCCCAAATCCCTCTCCTGGCACATCCAAGGGATGGATCCATCCTGATCCGCTTCCCCAATCCGACCACAGCTGGAATTGCTTCCCGAGCTGCTTCCAGCCCGTTTTGGCAGTTGGATTTTTCTGGGATAAAGAATTCCCACCTGGAAGCATCAGGCATTGGCTACATCACTAAACCCCATTTTTCCACAGGAATTTTTGGAAGGAAAAGACCAGAAAAACAAAAAACAAACAAACAAACAAAAAACAAAAAACAAACAAAAAAAAAAACCAAAAAAACCCCACAAAAAACCCCAAACCCAGGACCCTGATCCAACTGTCCTGGCACCAAATTCCTTCCTTGGAATTCCATCCCGGAATGGTTTGGGTGGGAAAGGACAATCCCATCCCATCCCATTCCAGGGACATCTCCCACTATCCCAACCAGATCCAACCTTTCCTGGGACACTGCCAGGGATTCTCTGGGAATTCCAGCCCAGCCCTTTCCCACCCTCCCAACCAGAAATTCCATCCCAAGCTCCCTTTTCCCAGCGGGAATCCATTCCCAGTGTCCAATCCGGACCCAAAGCAAGGTCGGATCCTGACATTCCCAAAATCCCAGCGGGAATTCGGGACCGGCAATGTTCGGAACTGGAAATTTGGGATCTCACTGTGGATTTTCCCCTCCCTTGACTCCCGTTCCCGCTGCTGGGATTGTTCCAGGCTCCGAGTGAGCCGGGAATTTTCTTGGAGCTGGAAGGGTTAATTGTCCCTGGTTAATGATTCCCAAGGTCATTAAGAGCAGGGAAAGCCGAATCAGGCTGGCGATGGAATTCCAGGAATTCTCCTGCCGAGCTGGGATGGCCGTTCCCGCCTCCATGGATCCCATCCCGAACCTTTCCCGAGTTTTGGGGAAGCTCCGGCAGCTCCGCAACTTCCAGAGCCCCGCGGGAATTTTCCCTCCTTGCCACGGAAATCCCTGAGGGTCCCTGCGGGAATGGGGGAGCTGCGGAATCCCCGGGAGAAATCCAGGCTGATCCCGGATCCCGGAGCGAGGTGAGGATTCCTTTGGGATCTCCTCGGGACCCTCGATCCTACAAAGCCGTGACCCCGCAGCCGGATTCCGGCTGGGACGCGATCCCCGCTCCCGGCGGGAATTTCACCCTGGGAATTCTCCTCCTTTTCCCTGGATAAACCCATGGGGGGGGGGACCCCAAAATGAGCCGGTTTGGGATCGTGCGTGGGGAAACTGAGGCAGGGATGGGTGCAGGGACTGCCCAAATCCTGTCCTAAAAATCCTGATCCCCAAAATCCTGATCCCCAAATTCCACCCCCCAAATCCTGCCCCCAAATTCCTCTTCCCAAATCCCACCCCCACAATCCTACTCCCCCCAAATCTTGACCCCAAATCCCATGTCTCAAATCCTGTCCCCAAATCTTGACCCCAAATACTGTCCCTCAAATTCCTCTCCCCAAATCCCACCCCCACAAATCCTGATCCTTCAAATCTTTTCCCTCAAATCCTCCTCCTCCAATTCCTGCACCCCCAAATCCCACCTCCCTAAAATCCTGCACCTCCAAACCCTGCCCTCAAAATCCTGTCCCTAATTCCTGCCCCCCAATTCCTGCGCCTCACATCCCAAATCCTGCTCCCCAAATCTTTCTCCACCAATTCCTTCAAACCCTGCCCCCCAATCTCTCTCCTCCAATTCCCGATCCTCAATCCCCGCTTCCCAAATCCTG